GTTCAACCGTCTCTGTTGTCACATTGCCACTACACATGCATAATGTACATTGCCTCAGTAACCCCCCCCCCCCTCCCACATTGTGCAAGAGCGCAGCTGCGTGGTCAACACATCTACACCTCTATATAAGGAACGAAACAGGAAGACTTCTCCACAAATCTGGTTGTCACCTGGTGAAGCTAATTGTAATTACTGGCGAAACGTCGTACTCAGATTGTCAATGTTGTGGCTTGGCTCTCCAACACACCGGTGTGCTGTACTAGTGACGAATTGGCACGTTCTGTTTACGTGACAACCCTCACTAGTTGGCTGTGTCGGGTGGTGGCGGGTTATAATGACATATATATTTACGCGATCTAACAAAAAACCTCTATTATGGATACCACTAAACTAGGATGTAAAAAATGTATAAGCTTATGACGGAGGCCCCAGGGGGACAGGCGTCTATGACGTCTCCTGGCCAAAGCCCATTTGGTGGAGCCAGGAGACTGAATCCTTACCCACAGTGCTCCTCCAAAAACAACAAAAAGCCACTTCGGATGGCCACGTGGAATGTTCGAATGCTCACTCCGGAGGAGAGGCTGCCACTCCTCTGTCGGGAGCTGGATTGGTATCGCCTGGATCTCTGTGGTATTCAGGTGGTCCGGTGGACCCGTTCTGGCTCCTGCCACCATGAGGAGTGGACAGTCCTCTACTCGGGGCAGGAGACTGCCAAACAACAAGGAGTGGCTCTTCTTCTGAACAAGAGATTGAAGGGGGTGTGGGAGTGTGGCGGTGAGGTGTGGAAAGCTGTAAGCCCCAGGCTACTTTGGGCTCGCCTTCCCATCAACCAGAGGTGAGGAGTAGTGGTCGTGGTTACTTATGCCCCCACCTAAGAAGAACATCCGTGGAGGGATGCAGGCAAGGCTGATGAGTGAGATGCCTCCTATGACCTCCTGTCACAGGTGCTGGCTAAAGTGGCCCCTCGGGATAGAGTCATCTTGTTGGGTGACTTCAATGCCCTAGTTGGTCATGATGCTAGCACCTGGTCTGGAGTGATTGGAAGACATGGGTCAGATCAGCTCAATAACAACGGTAGAAGGCTGGTAGATTTTTGTGCAGCCCATGGGCTTGTAATTACCAACATGCTGTTCCGGCATCGGCGCATCCACACAACATCATGGATGCATACCGGGTCCAAGCAAGAACATCTGCTGGACTACATAGTAACAGAACAGTGGATGTGGACCCATGTCCTTGCCACCAGCACCTACCGTGGAGCTGATCTGCCCACTGACCATCGACTTGTCATCTGTAAGATGTGCCTGCCATTTTTCCACTCTGGTAGTGGATGGACACACAGGACTGCATTAAAACCCATAATGGCATGGTCTCAACTAGCTCATGAAAGTTGCAAGCAAGAATTTCATCATCGCTTGAGGCTGGGGTTGGCATCGTCCTCGACTCCTCCTGATGTCGAGGGAAAATGGGCGAGGTTTAGGACTGTGGCCATGCAGTTGCAATGGCTGCTTTGGGTACATGGTCCAGACTTCCTCAGGGACCCTGGCTGATAGAGGAGGTGTTCGGGCTGGATGAGAAAAAGCGACAGGCCCACTCTCATCGTCTACAGCATCCCACGTCGGAGAATGAGGAGGCTTACCGCAGTCTTCACTAAGAGGATCGGAGAGCCATGAGGTGCTGCAAGGATGGTTGGTGGTCGCGGGTTGCTGAGGAGATGGAGTCTGCCTAAATCACTCTTTAATGCCATCAAAAATAACAACCTGCAGAGCCACACCTACTGTATAACCATAATTAGAAGAAAGAACGGTGATCCAATCTCTGACCACCAGGCACAAGTTTTCAGATTTGCTGAGCATTTCTGTGAGGTCCTGGGGGAGGGGAAATCTCTAAGCCTGGAAAACATTGTGGGACAAAGTGGGGATGACCCTGCTGAGGCTGCAATGTCTCAAATATTGGAAGAAAAAGTCACCCCCTGTGAGTGGCTGGCTAAGGTGCCATCTGTCGAGGAAGTACTGAAGGTGATCCAAAGCCTCAGATCAGGAAAGGCACTGGGCAGAACTAATCTCCCAAGCGAAATGCTGAGGGAGGGTGGCGTTTGTGCACAAACTGCCCTACATGACATCATAACAAGTCTGGACCACTGAACGGGTTCCACAGGATTGGAAGGATGCCATGGTGGTCCTCCTCTTTAAGAAGGGGGGCGGCATAGACTGTAACAACAAAAGGGGTATCTCACTCCTCAGTGTGTCGGGAAAGGTCCTGGTAAGGATTATTCAACATCGCCTTGCCAGGCATGCTGACGAGAGGCTTGTGGAGCCCCAATGTGGTTTCAGGAAAGGTTGGTCCTGCACAGATGGCATATTTTCTGTCCGTCTGCTACAGCAGAAGTGTAGGGAATTCCAACAGGACCTACATCTCTGCTTAATTGACCTGGTCACGGCCTATGATACCATCAGTAGGGCTGGGCTCCGGGTTGTTCTTCGTGCTTTCAGAGTCCCTGACCCTCTGCTCACGCTCCTTAAGGATCTTCATCATGGTGAGCGGGCCCGGGTAAAACTAAGTGACCGGGAGCCAGAGCCATTCCCTGTTCACTTTGGGATGCGACAGGGATTTCCTCTGGCTCGCACATTATTTAACATATTTTTCGACCACGTAGCCTTCCATAGCTGTACTGGAAGAATTTCCATCTGGTACAGATACAATGGGAGGCCGATCGATGCCCGGGTGCGGTCAAGGGATGGCTCCCTATTGCTCAACCATGTTATGTATGCCGCTGCTGCTGAACCTGCAGCTTGCCGCTAAGAGGTGGGGACTTACCATCAGCCCCACCAAAACTCAGCACCTGCCTGGGTATTTTGTACAATCGGACCCTCCACCCCCACAAATCACTAATTGGTGATGGGGCAGTTGTGGAGAGAGTGGAGAGTTTAACATACCTGGGAAGTGTGCTCATGACCGGCTTCGGTTTGACAGCAGAGGTCTCACTCCGAATTAGTCGAGCAGTATTATCTTTTCATCGGTTGCGTAACGCTGTGTGGAAGCTACCTGGTCTGTCGCTCCGCAAGAAGCTTCAGGTCTTTTCGGCAGTCATGCCCTCCCTTCTCTATGCTCGCGAAATGTGGACCCCCCTAATGGAACATCTTCGCTGGTTAGAAGCATTTAGGCTGGCCTGCCTACGATCCATCCTGGATTTAACCAGGCTGGATTGTGTGAGGAGCTCACATATCCTTGAAAGATCTGGACAAAGTCCCATCGGTGAGCTCCTCCGGCAGGCAAGGTATGCATTGGCTGGGTCATGTAGCCCGCATTCCCAGCCACCGCATGCCTAAACAGCTTTTGTTTGGCCGGATCGATGGGCTAAACGGGCGCGGCACGGGCTAGAGAAGAGATTGAGTGATGTGGTACAGGAGGATGTGGAGCTGAGTGGACTTGCCGATGACTGGTACCTGCGGTTTCAGAATCGGCCTCTGTGAAGGAAGCTCGTGAAGGACGCTACTAGGCAGTTGGAGGCAGTCGCCCTCCAACAACAACGGAGGGCGGAGGAGCGACGCTCACAACAACGAGCTTAGCGCCGGGTGGCTAAAGCACAACAAGTTGGTACAGTAGGGGGCACAGGTGGTGTATCAGCTAGTCGTCTCAGTCGGTCGACCCGTGGCACCTGGGTCTGCCCCGTGACCTCGTGTCAGCGGGCGTTCGACATTTCAAGTGGCCTCAACGTGCACATAGCTTGGCATTAGCGTCGTGGTGACGTCACCGCCACTTAGTGGTGAATGGCGGTTGTTGTTGTACGTGTGTGTACGTGTGTATATGTGTTTATATGTGTGTATGTGTTTGTGTATATGTGTGTGTATATAGGTCGACGCAGCCTGAAATGAGTACCTGGTGCGGTGTGTAAACATCGCCACGGGGGAGACAAAGGCGGCCGGGCGTGGTGCTGGCCACCCACCCCCTCGTGTACCGTTCCGGCCTTCATAGGTGCTCGCTAACAGCACTTGCCCCTCCAGTCTGTTAAGGCTATACGGGGGATCTTTTTGTGTGTACGTATGTGTACGTGTGTGTATGTGGTTGTATGTTTATGTGTGTGTATGTGTGTACGTGTATATGTGTGTACGTGTGCATATGTGTGTATGTGTTTGTATGTGTGTGTGTATGTGTGTACGTGTGTGTACGTGTGTGTATGTCAGTATGTGTGTATATGTGCGTATGTGTTTGTATGTGTGTGTATATGTGTTTGTATGTGTGTGTACGTGTGTGTATGTCAGTATGTGTGTGTATGTGCGTATGTGTTTGTATTTGTGTGTATGTGTGCACGTGTGTATGTGTGTGTATATGTGTGTGTATATGTTTGTATGTGTGTGTGTACGTGTGTGTACGTGTGTGTATGTCAGTATGTGTGTGTATGTGCGTATGTGTTTGTATTTGTGTGTATGTGTGCACGTGTGTATGTGTTTGTATGTGTGTGTATGTGCGTGTATATGTGTGTGTATGTGTTTGTATGTGTGTGTGTGTACGTGTGTGTACGTGTGTGTATGTCAGTATGTGTGTATATGTGCGTATGTGTGTGCATTTGTGTACGTGTGTATGTGTGTATATGTGTGTGTATATGTGTTTGTATGTGTGTGTATGTGTATGTGTGTACGTGAGTATGTGTGTATATGTGTGTGTATGTGTTTGTATGTGTGTGTATGTGTGTACGTGTGTATGTGTGTATATGTGTGTGTATGTGTGTATATGTGTGTGTATGTGTTTGTATGTGTGTGTATGTGTGTACGTGTGTATGTGTGTATATGTGTGTGTATGTGTTTGTATGTGTGTGTATGTGTGTACGTGTGTATGTGTGTATATGTGTGTGTATGTGTTTGTATGTGTGTGTATGTGTGTATATGTGTGTATGTGTTTGTATGTGTGTATGTGTGTACGTGTGTATGTGTGTAGTTGTGTGTGTATGTGTTTGTATGTGTATGTGTGTACGTGTGTATGTGTGTGTGTATGCGTGTATGTGTGTGTATGTGTGTACGTGTGTATGTGTGTGCCAGCCCACGCGAGAGCTCTCCAAGCCCATGGAGCGATGACGATCAGAGCGGGACTCGGCCGAGTGTGACTCGTGGACAGCGACAAGTGGACTCTCTCATCTCGTCCTCTATTACACAACAACAACCACAACAACAGCAGCAGCTATAGCTTGCTACTAGCCTCAAGTCTCTTCCTTGACAGCAACAACAACAGCAGCAGCAGCAAGACGAACCACCACGCTCCGCGGGACACGGGAGCTGCTCTTGACAGAAGGCGACAACACCCAGCCGAGTGATCCAGGTGAGTCCGAGTCCCCCTCTTGTTCCTTAAAATTCTGCTCAGCATGAGGAGCCACGCGAAGGCTCCAAACGTCGAGCGGCCAGCAACAAAGAGCACCCATCAAGTTTACAGCGCCAGGGAAGCGAGATGTTAACCACCTCGCAAGGTATACAGGAGGACGTGGGTTCGATTCCGAACCTCACGTCTGTCTCTCTCTCCCCGTGGTGGACGCGTGGAGTTTTCTCCGGGTTATCCGGTTTTTCCCTCCACATTTAGAATCAATATCATGCGTGTAGAGTATTTGGCTGCGATACATTTCCACGTGATGATGATAAGCTTATTCGTTGAGCTATCATTCGTGGCCGGGTGGCTTCTGAAAAGAGCAGTATAGCTCAGTGGGCCTTACCTGGTAAAATAAAAATATATAGTTTAGTTCAAAATAACTGGGTTCTTGAATGGAGCGAGTTTTTATTATTATAGCCTTTGGAGAGGATAAGAGACGCTGATGTTGGTGATGGGAGGAGGGAATTCCGGAGTGCAGCAGTGAGAGGGAAGAAGCAGAGAGAGGAAAGTGATGTGACATGTGGCAGAGATGCATCATTGATGAGTGCCATTTTGACCCTTTAATGACTCTAATTACTCTTTTTCTCAACACGTGTTTAAATACTGTGTTGTGTGATGGCACTGCTCCATATATTACGGATGGCAGCGTTAAACTCGTTGACTCACCGCTCTAGCCCTTATATAGCATCATTAGAGTTCACATCACTCACTCAGCTCTCTAGCCCTTGTAGAGCATCATTAGAGTTAACATCACTCACTCAGCTCTCTAGCCCTTCTAGAGCATCATTAGAGTTCACATCACTCACTCAGCTCTCTAGCCCTTCTAGAGCATCATTAGATGTCACATCACTCAGCTCTCTAGCCCTTCTAGAGCATCATTAGAGTTCACATCACTCACTCAGCTCTCTAGCCCTTCTAGAGCATCATTAGATGTCACATCACTCAGCTCTCTAGCCCTTCTAGAGCATCATTAGAGTTCACATCACTCACTCAGCTCTCTAGCCCTTCTAGAGCATCATTAGATGTCACATCACTCAGCTCTCTAGCCCTTCTAGAGCATCATTAGAGTTCACATCACTCACTCAGCTCTCTAGCCCTTCTAGAGCATCATTAGAGTTCACATCACTCACTCAGCTCTCTAGCCCTTCTAGAGCATCATTAGATGTCACATCACTCACTCAGCTCTCTAGCCCTTCTAGAGCATCATTAGATGTCACATCACTCACTCAGCTCTCTAGCCCTTCTAGAGCATCATTAGATGTCACATCACTCACTCAGCTCTCTAGCACATCTAGAGCATCATTAGAGTTCACATCACTCACTCAGCTCTCTAGCCCTTCTAGAGCATCATTAGATGTCACATCACTCACGCAGCTCTCTAGCCCTTCTAGAGCATCATTAGATGTCACATCACTCACTCAGCTCTCTAGCCCTTCTAGAGCATCATTAGATGTCACATCACTCACTCAGCTCTCTAGCACATCTAGAGCATCATTAGAGTTCACATCACTCACTCAGCTCTCTAGCCCTTCTAGAGCATCATTAGACACGCAGAAGTTTTCAATGTATATGTTTATTGTTGAAGGTAGAATGCATACCTTCTGTTTTAAGTGTAGCGGGGTACACCTGCAAATTAATCAGCCGGCTCAATAGATATTTGTATAGTGCCGTACAACAAGCGTACGCAAACTCACTGGCATTGATGTTAGCATTGACTGAGCCCCATGGTCCATGAGCAGGGCCCTTTTCGACACCTTCTGGTCAGCGTTTTTTTCAACAAACCCGACTCTCCTGATGAGACGACACTCATCAGAATCAGAATGTTTATTTATGCTGCAGGAGGAATCCGATGAGCTATAAAGCTCTTTTTCACAAATGTCGAGTTGGAGCAGGAGGGCAAAACGTTACAACAACAAATAATACAAAGGCACGATAGGAGCGCAAAGCATAGAAAGCATCACTAAACAATATATACAAATAAAATCAAACATGTTTCGATTTAAAGCTTTCGTGACTGCAAGGATTCATCTTCTTTGGTGCTTTCGGTAAAGTCACGTAGAATGAGAATAAAATAATAAAATAAAATAACAATAAAATTCTCACGACGTTTCGGCCACAACACAAGTGGCCTTCTTCAGGTGAAAGGAACAAACCTGTCGGGACGACAGAGCTTCAATGAACGTTGTTATAATTAGTAGCGTCTTTTAAGCTGGTTTAGAGAAGTGAGGCACCTTGACAAAGGGGTTTACATACCAAACAGGATAATTTAGCATTGCCACAGCTGAGGGATTAGCTTGTGACTGGTCACAGAAATGGCTATGTTAAAGTCAAAGCCTACACATCCACAGAGGCACCTAGTACAAATCAAACAGCTATTTCAATGCTAAATTCTCCTGTTTGATTTGTACTAGGTGCCTCTGTGGATGTGTAGGCTTTGACTTTAACATAGCCATTTCTGCGACCAGTCACAAGCTAATCCCTCAGCTATTTCAATGCTAAATTCTCCTGTTTGGTATGTAAACCCCTTTGTCAAGGTGCCTCACTTCTCTAAATCAGCTTAAAAGACGCTACGAATCTTAACAACGTTCATTGAAGCTCTTGTCGTCCCGACAGGTTTGTTCCTTTCACCTGAAGAAGGCCACTTGTGTTGTGGCCGAAACGTCGTGAGAATTTTATTGTGTAATTTTATTTTATTATTTTATTATTTTATTCTCATTCTACATGACTTTACTGAAAGAACCAAAGAAGGCAAACAACTTTTTTTATTTTTCAGCTGAAGCTCACGGAACTATTAGCTTCTTTTTTTCCGAAGCGACCTGGCCACAAATGATGGCTCAACAAAGTGGCTTAACATGTGGACATTGATAGCAGCAGCCAAACAATCTAAATAATATAGTGTCGAAACCGGCCAATGGGTTTTTGCTCAAACAAAGGCTGCTGATCAGATTGAAAACGCAAGACATTCGCCAATAACACTGGCCTAAAAAATATCAGAGTATATAACAGGTGACGTTTCGGGCAATGGTCTTTCTTCACGATACATAAATTCCGGAAAGGTAGAGTGAGTTGTGTTGTTCTTTGTGCTTGTGCAGCAGCACCAGCTAGAGTAAATATCTGAGTGATCAATGGGCTAACACATAGATTTAATCTGCTGGAATTTTATTATAATATGTGCATCATAGTCAGCCATGCTCAATCTGCTGCTGTGGTCAATCCTCTGGTAGATAAAGTCCACCCCACGTCACCTCTGGGTTTTACCAGACTGGATCACATTGTGAGGAGCTCACAGAAACTTTACGTAGCCCGCATGCCCAGCCACCGCATGACCAAGGTCCGTCTGTTTGGCCGGATAGAGGGGGCTACACGAACGCGACACGGGCTAGAGAAGAAATGGAGCTGACGCGGTACAGGAGGATGTGGAGCTGAGTGGACTTGCCGATGACTGGTACCAGCGGTGCCAAAAATCGGCCTCTGTGGAGGAGGCTCGTGACGGACGCTGCTGGGCAGTTGGAGGCAGTCGACCTCCAGCAACGGAGAGCGGAGGAGCGACGCTCACAGCAATGAGCGGAGTGACGGGTGGTTAAAACGCAGCAGGCTGGCACAGGAGGGGGCACAGCTGGTGGTGCAACTGCCAGTAACCTCAGTCAATGAACCCATGGCACCTGGGGGCTTTCCGATGACCTGCCATTGAGCCTTTGACACTTCACGTGGCATGAAAGTGGACCTATCCTGGCACAAGCGCCATGCTGACGTTATCGCCATTCATGGCGAATAGCGGCTGTTGTGTGTGTCAGTGCTGTATGAGTAACCTGGTGCTGTGTGTAGTAAACATTGACACTAGGCAAAGACGGCCGGGCGTGGTGCTGATCACTCACCACCCCCCCCCCCCCCCCCCCCCCGTGTGCCGTGCCGGCCTTAATACGTGCTGCTCGTATTCTTTGGGTCTTTCCGTAAAGGCACGTAGAAAGGTTCAAAGAAAATAACAAAAAACTACGACGTTTCGATCACAGCACACGCGATCGTCATCAGGAGGAAAAATGAGGAAAGCTGCTGAGGCACTCTTTTTGCCTCCTGATGACGACCGCTTGTGTTGTGATCGAAAGTCGTATTTTTTTTTAATTTTCTATGAACCTATCTACGTGACTTTACCGAAAGACCCAAAGAATATGAATTCCTGCAATCACGAAAGCTTTAAGTCAAGGTGCTACTCGCTAACAGCACTTTCCCCAACAGTATGTTAAGGCTATAGGGAGATCTTTGTCTTGTATGTGCATGTTTGGGAGTGATAGTGTAGCGGTTAGCGTGCTGCGCTACGAACCTCGCTACCCGAGTTCGAGTCCCACTCACGACCAACACCAGCGACGATTATCTGAACCGGTCCTGGGCCGAATCAGCACTTGCACCCGACACCATATTAGATGTTTGTATCCATATGAGTGAATATCTTTACAGTATATGCGTTAGATCTACACTGATAAACAGAGGAACACCCGGATCAGAGAGCACGTGCTGATTCATTACATCGTACAAACTGTGAAGGGATGCGAGTGAGGCGTGGACAGGAGGCGCATCGTTTAGAATGGATGGCGATCCAAATGACTAGAAACTATTAAACCATGTTATATTTTACCAGGTAAAGCCCACTGAGCTGTACAGCTCGTTTCCAGAAGCGACCTGGCCATCACAAATGATAGCTCAATGAAGTGGCGGCTGATCATCATCACCTGGATATTTTCTAGTAACCAAATACTCTAAATGCCTGTTTTTAAATATGGAGGGAAAATCCTGAGGACACGGAGAAAAATCCACGCGACCACGAGGAGAGAGACACACACAGACTCCAAATATACAATAGGCGTCAGGGTCGGGGATTGAACCCACGTGCTCCTGTATACCAGGCGAGATAGTTAACATCTCCTAGCCACCGCGACACCCGCTAAGGGAACAGCAGCCGAGGAATGGAATGCGAGGAGATGGAGCGATGAAACCAGTTCCATGGTGTGCAGAGTATCTGCGGGTGGGTTGTTACATCGCAAGTTAGTGGTGGTGGCTTGGGAAAAGAGGCCTTCATCCAGCAGTGGATTAACATTGGTGACGTATGTATCTTGAACTTATTTCGCACCGTACGTAGCCATCCACACTACTCGGAGGTGAGGGGGATGGACAACAAACCTAACACAACAAGCAGTTCTAAAGAAATGTTTGTAAATATATATGATGTTCAAGTACATTGCTCCAGTGGCTTTCTAATATCAGAAGGAAGAACGTTCCAGACGGCCGCAGAAGCTCATATAAAAGTGCGCGATGCGGTGACGCGATGCGGTCTTTATTCGATTTCCAGCCAAAATCCGTTGCTGTGTCGATGAGCGGAGTTCGCGTGATGATGGTTTATGTTCCTTGACGAGATCAGGGAGGTATCGTGGTTCATTTGTTGCAAGCACTTTGTGTGTAATGAGCGCGGCCTTATAGCAACGTACACGTTCGGCAACGGGAAGCCAACGCAGCTCAGCGAGCAACTGGATGGACACGGTCAGATCTTGCAGTACCGGTCACGACACGTCCCAGAGAATTGTGTACATGCTGCAGCATGGAAATGTTTTTTTTGCCAGAAGTCCTGTAGAGTAGTGAGTTACAAATAATCGAGACTTGTCAATACGACGCTACACGCAACATGATGATGTATCCAAACAGGTGCTGGCTTGAGACCTGTGGAACCCAGAGGAGGAGGGGGAAGTGTAGGCAGAGGGGAGGGAGCGATGGCGCTTCTGCTCCGCATCAGCTTCCTCACGTGTGATGGCTGTCGCATGTCTCGCCCGGAGGCCTCCTCGGCCCAGCCGTACTGCGCCGTCAACATCCGCCAGGCCGTGCCCAATGGTCAGTGCTCTTACATGGACACCCATTGACTCACGCAGACACCGACGGTATTACACGGACGTTCATAGACTCACGCAGACACCCACGGTCTTACATGGACACCCATAGACTCACGCAGACACGCAGGATCTTACACGGACGTCCATAGATCCATACAGACACCCACAGTCTTACATGGACACCCATAGACTCACGCAGACACGCACGGTCTTACACGGACGTCCATAGATCAATGCAGACACCCACGGTCTTACATGGACATCCATAGACTCACGCAGACACGCACGGTCTTACATGGACACCCATAGACTCACGCAGACACGCACGGTCTTACATGGACACCCATAGACTCACGCAGACACGCACGGTCTTACATGGACACCCATAGACTCACGCAGACACCTACGGTCTTACATGGACACCTATAGACTCACGCAGACACCCACGGTCTTACATGGACACCCATAGACTCACGTATACACCCACGGTCTTACATGGACACCCAAAGACTCACGCAGATTCCCACGGTCTTACATGGACACCCATAGACTCACGCAGACACCCACGGTCTTACATGGACACCCATAGACTCACGCAGACACGCACGGTCTTGCATGGACACCCATAGACTCTTGCAGACACGCACTGTCTTACATGGACACCTATAGACTCACGCAGACATGCACGGTCTTACATGGACATCCATAGACTCACGCAGACACGCACGGTATTACATGGACACCCATAGACTCACGCAGACACCCACAGTCTTACATGGACACCCATAGACTCATGCAGACACGCACGGTCTTACATGGACACCCATGGACTCACGCAGACACGCACGGTCTTACATGGACACTTACATACTCACGCAGACACGCATTGTCTTACATGGACACCTATAGACTCACGCAGACACCCACGCTCTTACATGGACACCCATAGACTCACGCAGCCACCCACGGTCTTACATGGACACCCATAGACTCACGCAGACACGCACGGTCTTACATGGACACCCATAGACACACGCAGACAACCACGGTCTTACTTGGACACCCATAGACTCACGCAGACACGCACAGTCTTACATGGACACCCATAGACTCAAGAAGACACGCACGGTCTTACATGGACACCTATATACTCACGCAGACATGCATTGTCTTACATGGACACCTATAGACTCACGCAGGCACCCACGATGTTACATGGACACCTATAGACTCACGCAAACATGCACAGTCTTACATGGACACCCATAGACTCAAGAAGACACGCACGGTCTTACATGGACACCTATATACTCACGTAGACACGCATTGTCTTACATGGACACCTATAGACTCACGCAGGCACCCACGATGTTACATGGACACCCATAGACTCACGCAAACATGCACGGTCTTACATGGACACCCATAGACTCACGCAGACACGCACGGTCTTACATGGACACCTATAGACTCAAGCAGACACCCACGGTCTTACATGGACACCCATAGATTCATGCAGACACGCACGGTCTTACATGGACACCCATAGACTCAAGAAGACACGCACGGTCTTACATGGACACCTATATACTCACGCAGACATGCATTGTCTTACATGGACACCTATAGACTCACGCAGGCACCCACGATGTTACATGGACACCTATAGACTCACGCAAACATGCACAGTCTTACATGGACACCCATAGACTCAAGAAGACACGCACGGTCTTACATGGACACCTATATACTCACGTAGACACGCATTGTCTTACATGGACACCTATAGACTCACGCAGGCACCCACGATGTTACATGGACACCCATAGACTCACGCAAACATGCACGGTCTTACATGGACACCCATAGACTCACGCAGACACGCACGGTCTTACATGGACACCTATAGACTCAAGCAGACACCCACGGTCTTACATGGACACCCATAGATTCATGCAGACACGCACGGTCTTACATGGACACCCATAGACTCAAGAAGACACGCACGGTCTTACATGGACACCCATAGACTCACGCAAACATGCACGGTCTTACATGGACACCCATAGACTCACGCAGACACGCACGGTCTTACATGGACACCCATAGACACACGCAGACAACCACGGTCTTACTTGGACACCCATAGACTCACGCAGACACGCACAGTCTTACATGGACACCCATAGACTCAAGAAGACACGCACGGTCTTACATGGACACCTATATACTCACGCAGACATGCATTGTCTTACATGGACACCTATAGACTCACGCAGGCACCCACGATGTTACATGGACACCTATAGACTCACGCAAACATGCACAGTCTTACATGGACACCCATAGACTCAAGAAGACACGCACGGTCTTACATGGACACCTATATACTCACGTAGACACGCATTGTCTTACATGGACACCTATAGACTCACGCAGGCACCCACGATGTTACATGGACACCCATAGACTCACGCAAACATGCACGGTCTTACATGGACACCCATAGACTCACGCAGACACGCACGGTCTTACATGGACACCTATAGACTCAAGCAGACACCCACGGTCTTACATGGACACCCATAGATTCATGCAGACACGCACGGTCTTACATGGACACCCATAGACTCACGCAGACACCCACGGTCTTACATGGACACCCATAGACTCACGCAGACACGCACGGTCTTACATGGACACCCATAGACTCAGGCAGACACGCACGGTCTTACATGGACACCTATATACTCACGCAGACACGCATTGTCTTACATGGACACCTATAGACTCACGCAGACACCCACAATGTTACATTGACACCTATAGACTCACGCAGACACCCACGGTCTTACATGGACACCCATAGACTCAGGCAGACATGCACGGTCTTACATGGACACCCATAGACTCAAGAAGACAACCACGGTCTTACATGGACACCCATACACTCACGCAGACACCCACGGTCTTACATGGACACCCGTAGACTCACGCAGACACGGACGGTCTTACATGGACACCCATAGACTCACGCAGACACGCACGGTCTTACATGCACACCGATAGACTCATGCAGACACGCACGGTCTTACATGGACACCCATAGACTCACGCAGACACGCACGGTCTTACATGGACACCTATATACTCACGCAGACACGCATTGTCTTACATGGACACCTATAGACTCACGCAGGCACCCACGATGTTACATGGACACCTATAGACTCACGCAGACATGCACGGTCTTACATGGACACCCATAGACTCACGCAGACATGCACGGTCTTACATGGACACCCATAGACTCACGCAGACACGCACGGTCTTACATGGACACCCATAGACTCACGCAGACACGCACAGTCTTACATGGACACCCATAGACTCACGCAGACACGCACAGTCTTACATGGACACCCATAGACTCACGCAAACACCCACAGTCTTACATGGACACCCATAGACTCATGCAGACACGCACGTTCTTACATAGACACCTATAGACTCACGCAGACACCCACGGTCTTACACGGAAACCTATAGACGCATGCAGACACCCACGGTCTTACATGGAAACCCATATACTCACGCAGACACCCACGGTCTTTAAAGGACACCCATAGACTCACGCAGACACCCAAGGTCTTAAACGGACACCCATAGACTCACGCAGACAGCCACGGTCTTACATAGACACCCATACACTCACGCAGACACCCACAGTCTTACATGGACACCCATAGACTCACGCAGACATGCACCGGCTTACATGGACACCCATAGACTCACGAAGACACGCACGGTCTTACATGGATACCTATAGACTCATGCAGACATGCACGGTCTTACATGGACACCCATAGACTCACGCAGACACGCACGGTCTTACATGGACACCCATAGACTCACGCAGACACCCACAGTCTTACATAGACACCAATAGACTCACGCAGACACGCACGGGCTTACATGGACACCCATAGACTCACGAAGACACGCACGGTCTTACATGGACACCTATAGACTCACGCAGACACGCACGGTCTTACATGGACACCCATAGACTCACGCAGAACCGCACGGGCTTACATGGACACCCATAGACTCACGAAGACACGCACGGTCCCACATGGACACCCATAGACTCACGCAGACACGCATGGTCTTACATGGACACCCATAGACTCACGCAGAACCGCACGGTCTTACATGGACACCCATAGACTCATGCAGACACCCACAGTCTTACATGGACACCCATAGACTCACGCAGACATGCACGGTCTTACATGGACACCCATAGACTCACGCAGACACGCACGGTCTTACATGGACACCTATAGACTCAAGCAGACACCCACGGTCTTAGATGGACACCCATAGACTCACGCAGACATGCACGGTCTTACATGGACACCCAAAGACTCACGCAGACACGCACGGTCTTACATGGACACCTATAGACTCAAGCAGACACCCACGGTCTCACATGGACACCCATAGACTCACGCAGACACCCACAGTCTTACATGGACACCCATAGACTCACGAAGACACCCACGGTCTTATATGGACACCCATAGACTCACGCAGACACGCACGGTCTTACATGGACACCCATAGACTCACGCAGACACGCACGGTCTTACATGGACACCTATAGACTCATGCAGACATGCACGGTCTTACATGGACACCCATAGACTCACGCAGACACGCACGGTCTTACATGGACACCCATAGACTCACGCAGACACCCACAGTCTCACATGGACACCCATAGACTCACGCAGACACGCACGGTCTTACATGGACACCCATAGACTCACGCAGACACGCACGGTCTTACATGGACACCTATAGACTCAAGCAGACACCCACGGTCTTACATGGACACCCATAGACTCACGCAGACAGGCATGGTCTTACATGTACACCCATAGACTCACTCAGACACCCACGGTCTTACATGGACACCCATAGACTCACGCAGAC